AACCTTAAAGGGAAACTTTATTTTGGCAAAGGTTTTCAAACTTACTGGCTGAGAAGATTAATCATGTGTGAGCTAACTGTAGACTTTTTCTTCACTCCTAGTATTTGTTATATTTTAAGAACTCTAAGAATACATTATACTGAAAGTTTTCAGTATTAACAATAAAATTATCATTAAGTAGCTACAAGAGTAAAACAAATGGTATCTAACCTCAAGAAGTTATCTCTACACTCAAGAAGTCTCATATACAAATATTCTGACTTAATTATTTAATATTTTTATTAACAATCTGAGTTATGCAGATGACACAACCCTGCTTGCTGAAACTGAGGAGGACCTCATGCACTTGCTGCAGAGGGTCAAGGACTGCAGCCTTCAGTATGGACTGAGGCTCAGTGTCAAGAAGACAAAGATTCTCACCACTGGACCAACTGGCAGCATCAGGACAGATGGCAAAGAGATTGAGATTGTTCACAGCTTCAGTTTGCTCGGCTCCATGGTCAACACTCTTGGCACCAGCAGCCAGGAAATCAAAAAACGTATTGCGATGGGAAAGTCTGCTGTTAGGGACCTCTCTAAAGTACTCAAGAGCAATGGTGTCTCTCTCCATGGACTGCCAAGAAAACAAACAGCTTCATCCTGGAGAGGATTAAACCAAGCAACTCCTTGGAGGCAAGGATTCTGGGGCTTCGTCTGACATACTTTGGGCATGTTGCAAGGAGGGACATCATGCTTGGGAGGATGGAGGGACAGTGCAAGAGGGGAAGACCCTCTATGAGATGGATTGAGTCAGTGACTCGGGTAATCGGGATGGCTGTGTCAGAGGCAGTGCAATTGGCACAGGATAGAGCAGGGTTTAGGGCTGTTGTACTTAGGGTCGCTATGAGTCACAAACGACCGCACATTAACAACAACAACAACATGCCCATAAATTATGAAACAGTTAAAATAATCTGTATTCTATTAATCATAATGTGTTGGGTTCTAACTAGTTTTCTTACTCTGTATTAAGAATTCAGAAGATACAAAAAAAGTGTTCTTATTAGTGTGATTCTGACACCTTTTCAAGGATGGAATTCATGATTCTGGGGGCAGGGGAATAGCCTAATGAAGTGAAAGTCACTAAACATGGATTCTACTCCTACAAAAGGAGACTCAAGTAGGTTAGGGGGCAGAGTTAACATACCTAGTCTATGCAAATTGTAAAAAAAAAAGAGAGAGAAAGAATAGATCTCTCTACTTTTTGCTTAAAATAATACCTCCAATCTAAGACATGGGATCTTATTTTAAAAAAACAAGCTCACTTTCCATGGACTAGGAAGGACCTGAGTACTTAACAGAATAGTGTTGTAAGGTTTATTTTATTAAGGTGTTGTTAGGCATCATTGAGTATGATCCATAGTGATCCAATGAAAACAGGCCTGAGCCTAACCTGTGCCATCCTCACATTTTCTGACACATTAGAGCCCACTATGTCAGTCACTATGTCAATCCACCTGATTGAGGGTCTTTCTCTCCTTCAGTGACTCTTCACTTTCCAAGCATCATGTCTCTACCTGCGGAATTGCTTCTTCTAGCAATATGTCTGAAGTACATTAAGGTGAAGCTCAGTCATTTTTGCCTCCAAGGAGCACTCTCTCCAAGACATATCTGTTTATTCTTTTGGTAGTACAAGGGTTGCTCAAAGGCATCAATTCTTCTTCTGTCATCCTTATTCACTGTGCAGCTCTCAGATGCATAGCAGGTGATGAGAAAGACCATGACCTGAAACAGATGCACCTTAGTCCTCAAACTGATATCGTTGCTCCTCAATAAAAGAGGTCCAGAGTGCAGACTATCCCAGTGTAATATATCTCCTGATTTTCTTTATTTTATACTGGTGCCAAAAAAACCAAGTTCCATTCTTTATTTTATACCACTGCCAAAAAAGCTTTCTTGGAATTTATATTAGGCTTTTTTATTGGGTGAGCTGGAATAGATCTATGAATCCTGAACCAGTATCTAGAAGAGAACTAATATTTAGAACTACTAACTGTGTACCTCAAACCCACTTCCCTGGTAGCTTGAATTCACCAGCTGCTCCTGGGAAAAAGATGGGCAATGTCCTCCTGTGTGATTTACTGCTTCAGAAAACAGCTATGAGTTGCTTCTGACTCAGCAACAATGAATTATGAGAACTGTGTAGATATGTATACATTGTCTCACTTCTCACTTCCCTTGCTCTTAACTCTTTATAAAAAGCACCATAGTCAGTTAGTAGGTGGACTTCAGAGTCCAGATTTCCCCTCTTTTATTCCAGTCACCAAGAGAAAGAGAACCCTCTATACCAGAATTCTGCACTCCAGGTAAGAGTTGATTTGTTCTGACAGAATCATTCTGTTTTATTCTATAAGTCTGTTGTTGTTGTTGTTGTTTTTGTTAGGTGCCATCGTGTGGAGTTCGACTCATAGCAACCCTATGTACAAAAGATCTGAACCCTGTTCTACCCTGTACCATCTTCACTTCCTGACACACAAGAGCCCATTGCAGCAGTCACTATGTCAATCCACCTGGTTGAGTGTCTTCCTCTCCTCTGCTGACCTTTCACCCTTCCTAGCATCATGTTCTTCTTCAAGGAATAGCACCTCTTAGCAACATATCTAAAGTATGTGAGGTAAAGCCTCATCTTTCTTGCCTCCAGAGAGCACTCCAGCTGCACCATCTCCAAGACCTAGCTGTTCATTCTCTTTGCCGTCCACAGGATATTCAGTGCTCTTCTCCAATACCACAGCTCAAAGAGGTCAATTATTTTTCTGTCATTCTTATTCACTGGCCAGCTCTCAGATGCATAGCAAACAATGAGAAAGACATCATTACTCCTCAATAGTCTGGAAAGGTCCCTAACTGCAGATTTTCACAGTGCAATGAGTCTCCTTATTTCCTGACTGCTGTTACCAAGGGTGTTAACTGAGGATCCAAGTAAGATGAAGCTGTTGTTGACAGTTTCAGTCTCCTTTCCATTCATCATGACGCTGCCTATCTGTCCAGTGGTAAGAATCTTCGTTGTATTCCTTGATTTTCTGCAATAAAATCATCATAATAATACCCAAAGAAAATGGGGGAAAGTTCACTTTGTGCTTTGAATTTTAAAAGTGTTAAATAATTCAAGTAATTATATAACTAGTTTGAAATGATTAGGGAATAGACACATAAGAACATAATTTCAGTTATGTGGTTCATAAATTTACCCAATACCTAACATGATATTTTAAATGTGTATTTTCCTGGAAACAGTCACTTCATAATTATTCCATCCCAATATCTAATCTAAGCCCAAAGAAAACAAAACCCATAGGTATAGCATCAGCTTTGACTGACAGCAACCCTGGAAAGCACAGTAGGGTTTCCAAGGCTGTAAATGTTTATGCCACACCTTTCTCCACAGGTGGTGGGTTCCAAGTGCAGACTTTTCTGTTAGGAACCAAATGCTGAACTATTTGTGTCACTGTTGCTGTGGGCTGTCCGGTCAGAACCCATTCATTCTTGACCCTCTGCATATTTTACCAGGCTGTAAATCACAAGGGAAAAGAGTGTCCATCTGTCTTGAGCCAAGCAGCTGGTGGATTAGTACTATGTGACTTTGGGACTGCAGCTCATCTTCTTACCACTAGGCCACCAGAGCTCCCTACTGTGACACTAGGGATCCTTATTCCAACAGACATTAAAATATTAAAAGGTGCTTATTTAACTCAAAACCTGTCACCAGCAACGCCACTGACATTTTGATCCTGGTAACTCTTTTGGTGGGTAAGCTATCCTGTACACCAACCATAGTAAGCTAAGGAGAATCCTCACTTCTAGCCACTGTATTAGCACCAGTTCAAGTGCTCAAGTCAAGATATCCTTGAAGTAGCTCCAGCTTGCCAGAAAGCCCAGGGGAAAAAATCACTGCTTAAATCTCTCTCACTTGAGACATTAATTTAAAGGCGCAGATCTCCATTTAGAGAAGACCTTTGAGGCTAATTCCTTCCTTGCATACTTTTTGTAAAAGAAATGTAAAAAAATGTTTGGCTAAGTTAGAAGACAGAAACTGCTTCCTGAAGATGAAGAAACTGACAAAAAACCTATGAAGCGTTTTCCCCACAGCTTGATGAAAAAATAGTGGCAAATCACGCCCTGATCAAAGATTACCTCTCTATATTTCTGATGAACTAGGTGTCTTCGAAAACAAGCAGAAGGATAATATGTAAGACAAAACACTGCTTTAAATAGTGAAGGTGAAATCTTGAACAAGGGCAATCAAACCTAAGGGTACCTTCTGGTAGGAAGGGGCGCCCTTGGGCAATCCCAACACCCGCCCGCAACCCGGGGGAGCAGGGGGGCCTCCGGGAGCAGGAGCCGGCGGAGCTCCCGCCACGCCCATCGGACGTCACCCGTTACACAACGCACCCCCCCAGCTTATGCAATTCTGCCCTCCCGCGGCTCCAATTGCCCGGGTGACTTTTGTGGGAGAAAAGGTAAACGCTGCCCCGCTGCCTGGTCGGCCTCTGCGGGGGGCCTCTCCTGCCCCAATTGTCGTTCCCAGCGCCGGGCTCCCTGCGACCCTAGCGGCCGTGCCAGAGACCGGAAAGAGCCAGGCAGGAAGCCAGAGGTCGCCCCACTCCCTCCAGGCGGCGCGCTCTGCTGGCCTCGGCCAGCGTCGCCCGCTCAGCCCGGGACCCGCCCGCCTGCTCGCCCGGCGGCGGCGGTGGCGGCTCAAAGGCCCGCGGAGCGGCCGAGGGAACTCCGCGCCCGCGCGCCCCTCCCAGCGCCGCGTCACACTCGGCTCCGAGGCGATCCCCATTGTGACCGAAGCACTCCGGGGTGCCGCCCCTCCCACACCCGCGGGGACCCCGACAGCCGAGGGGGCCAGTCGGACTCCCCAGAGCCTCCCGGGGACAGAGTCGAGTTGGGGTCCCCAGCCCGCGGTGGCAAAGGAGGGTGGGGTCGGCCGGGCCCGCGCCGCATCCCCGCGCCGTCACCTGCTCGCAGCTCCTCGCAGGCGGCGGCGAGGGCCTCCCCGTAGCGCGCCTGGTGCAGCAGCTCCCCGAGTCGGCCGGCCGCCCGGGCTCTCTCCCGCAGGCCGGGGAACCACTTCTCGGCCAGGTGGCTGAGGACGACACTGGTCCTGAAGTCCGAGGCGGTGATGGCGGCGGCCAGGGGCGGCGGCCGCGGCGTGGTCCCCTCAGCATCCGTGGTGGCAGCGGCGGACGGCAGACGGTCCCGGCAGAGGCGGCAGTGGGCGCGGAGTTCTCTCCGCAGGCAGCGGCGGCAGTAGCTGTGGCCACAGGGCACGGTCACCGGCTCGCTCAGGAAGCCCCGGCAGCCCAGGCAGCTCAGGAGCCCGCCGGCGGCGGCGTCCGCGCCCGCAGCCGTGGCTTCGCTCCAGCCCAGCCTGTGGCGGAGCCGGTAGTTGAGCACCAGGCAGTCCACCAAGGTGCCGAGGCGCTCGGGCCTGACCGAGGCCCCCCGGCGCAGCGCCGCCGAATACGCTTCCAGCGCTCCCTTCAGGTGGCCGCCCAGCGCCAGCAGCTCGCCGCGGCGGAGCAGCAGCTCCCAGCGCTCCGACTCCGCGGCCGCGCGCTCCAGCCGGTCGCTGCCGCCGCCGCCCACTTCCCAGAACTGTCCGCGATCCCGCAGCCCGGGGCCCGTCTCCTGGCTCCCTCCAGGGGAGCTCCTAGCCACGGCCGGAGAAGACATGGCCCGCGGAGGGCTGCTGCTCCGCCACCGCCGCCCGCCGCCACGG